CTTTTGTAAAGAGTTTGTTCATATCTTACTCAGGTTTTAATTGTGGTGTTGGCCTTACTCATTAATAGTAATAGTTAATATGTTCTGGATTTAACTCATTGTCAGTTGACACACAATTTTGTGTTCCATGTAAGAAAATTTTTTCTTTCATGAGTCATGAGATTTTTTTTTTAATTTGAATTAAAGTTTTAGTGCTAATGTTTAGGTTTCTATTTTCCTCAGGTTAGTTTTCTTTTCTTCTTTTTTAAATGCCAGTCTGGAGGCTTGAACTCAGGGCCTGGGTACTGTACCTGGGATTCTTTTTTTTTTTTTGAAAGCTAGCACTCTACCACTTGAGCCACACCCCCACTTCTGGCTTTTTCTGAGTAGTTTATTGGAGATAAAAGTCTTTCCGACTTTCTTGCCTGGTCTGGCTTCAAACCATGATCCACAGATCTCAGCCTCCTGAGTAGCTATGATGATAGCACCCAGCCTCAGGTTAGTTTCTATAAATGGTATGGGTGACAACCAGACCCCACTTCTGTATTGAAAAGGTTATTCTTTCTCCTGCTGGGTAGCAGTCAGCTGACACACAGACACATGTTCTCTACTGGGATGGGCCTTCCACCGATCCTTTTGTTTGGCCAGTCTTTTTTTTTTTAATTTTATTTTATTGTAAAGGTGATGTGTCTGGCCAGTCTTTAATGTACATTGTTTTCCTTGCTTAGCTATAGTAAGTCTTCAAGACAGGAAGACTGTTAATCTAACTGTTCTTTTTGTGAAAATTATTTAGGACACTTTATATACATCCCATTTAAAAACCTGCTGAGGGGCTGGGAAGGTGGCTTAGTGGTAGAGTGCTTGCCTAGCATGAAGCCCTAGGTTCTATTCCTCAGGACCACATAAACAGAAAAGGCCAGAAGTGGTGCTGTGTCAAGTGGTAGAGTGCTAGCCTTGAGCAAAAGAAGCTCAGGGACAGTGCTCAGGCCCTGATTTCAAGCCCCAGGACTAGCAAAAAAAATTAAAAACTTAAAAAAATCGGGGCCAGGAAGGTGGCTCAGTGGTAGAGTGCTTGCCTTGCATGCATGAGGCCCTGGGTTTGATTCCTCAGCACCACATAAGCAGAAAAGGCTGGAAGTTGCACTGTGACTCAAGTGGTAGAGTGCTAGCCTTGAGCTGAAGAGCTGAGGGACAGTGCCCCAGGCCCAGAGTTCAAGCCCTACAACTGGCAAAATAAAATCTGCTATGGCTTTGACTTGTTTGTTGTATTTTCCTGTGTGTGGTGTGTGTTTGTGTGTGTGGTGTGTGTATGTGGTGTGTGTGTGTATGGGTGTTCCGTTGAAACCTAGAGTTTGATCTCAGGGCCTTGTGCTCTCACTTAACTTTTTCACTCAAAGCTGGCACTTTCCCACTTAAGCCACATCCCTCCCATTTTTCCTGGCTAATTGGAGATAAGAATCTCCAGGATTTGTTTGCCCAGGCTGGCCTCGAACCATTACCCTCATCTTTTAGCCTTCTGAGTAGCTAGGATTGTAGGTGTGAGCACCTTAGGTAGGCTTGCTTCCCTTTGCCCTTTTAATTCTGTTTGTGCTATGTAAGGTGGTTTTTTTGTTGGCGATAGTGATGGTGGTCTTGTTGGCTATTCCTCCTCCATTTTGTTGGTATTTTTAGAAAGACATTCTTTTAGTAGTTGCATTCAGGTTTGCAACATATAAGTAACTTACTTTCAGATAATATAAAGTTACTTTTTCATAAACTGAGAAACTTAAAATTCAACACAGTGCGCACTGGGGGCTTGAGTTCATCTCCCTAGGGTGGCTCTCATCTCCTCCGCAGGCCAGTACACCTGACCTCCCTGCGGCCACGCTTCAGTTCTTACTGCCCCAGGCTGGGCCCTCGATACCCACATGGGCATGCATGGCCTGTGTGCCTAGCAGAGGGGCACAACAGTGCTGCCTGGCCCAGGCTGGCAGCACAGTGGCGTATTGGGTGAAGACCTGGGAGAGGCGTTGGCTTGGCAGAAACCAGGCTGTCTCCATGCTAGTCCAGATGCCGGGCTGTGGAATCCCGGCAGCTTTGTCAGAGACATCTGACTGGACTTCCCTGCCCCTTCCCCAGCCAGAGCATTGATTGGCATGCTCTGTTTGACTGGTGGGAGAAGGAGGATTTCAGTAGTCAGTAGACCTGAGTGATGTGTGTATGTGTGTGTGTGTGTGTGTTTGTGCATGTGCATGCACACACATGTTCCATATCACAGGATGTCCCCCCCTCATTCCTTTCAGGGTGTGTCCTCACCCACAAATACTCCTCACCCCCGCTCCCCTCAAGGAGCGTTCTTGGCTGGCTGCATGCCTAGAGAGACTTTCCCTCCCTCCTTCTGTCCTGAATGTAGCTTGTGTTTGACTCTTCTGTAGCTAGAGGCTCCCTTCAGCAGGACATGTGAATTCTTTCCGTCAGCTCTTCTTCATATCAAACCACTCAGTGGTATTTGCATTTAAAATGGACACTGCCTGATATAGAGATAAAATGAAAATTTCTGCTTTTGATGGGATAGTTTTCCTTAAGGCAGCTCTAGATCATGAGTAAAAAATACACCTGGATGCTTTGCACAGACTGTCATGAACTGTTCCAAATGCCACAGGCACCTTGGCCCTTGACTCCTCTTCCAGCCCTCTTTGGGCCTCTACTGGGTGCAGGTTGAATCAGTAAATTATTTGATGGCCAAGGGAAAAAAAAAACTTGAAAGAGGAGAGGGGTAAAAAGCTTTACATATACGTTTCATAGCACTTTTCTTGCCTTGTGAACAAGCAGTCTGATATTTTCTTTCTTTTTGTTCCTGTCCTAGGACTTGAACTCAGGGCTTGGATGCTGTGTGTGTGGCGGGGGACACTGGACCTTGAACTAGGGATCCTGAATTTTCTCTTCTTTTTTTTTTTTTTTCAGGTAAGGGGTAGGTTTATTCATTGTTCTGGCTGGCACCAGGCCATGTTGGCCCTCCGCATGGCTGGGAAAGGCCTGAGAATAAGAGCTGGAAAAGAGAGAGAGCTGGGAAAGAGAAGAGAAGGAAGGAGCTGAGAAAGAACTGAGAAGAGAGCTAGAAAAGAGCTTTTCTTTTTTTCATTGGTTGTGGGCCTTGAATGAACTTAGGGCCTGAGCACTGTTCCTGAGCCTCTGTGCTCAAGGCTGGTGCTCTACCACTTGAGCCACAGTGTCACTTCTGGTTTTTGAGAGGTTAATTGGAGATAAGAGTCTCACGGGGATTTTACTGCCTGGGCTGGCTTCAAACTGCAGTCCTCAGATCTCAACCTCTTGAGTAGCTAGGATGACAGGCGTGAGCCACCAATGCTCGCCTCTTGCATGCTCAGTTTTTTTCTCAAGGTTGGTGTTCTACCACTTTGACTATACTTCTACTTTCCATTTTTTGTGTGTTGTTGTTGGTCATAGGCTTGAACTTAGGGTCTGGGTGCTGGTCTTGAGTTCTTTTGCTCAAGGCTAGCGCTATACCACTTTGAGCCACAATGCCACTTCCAGTTTCTGTTGGTTAATTGGAGACAGGTATCTCACAGACTTTTCTGCCCAGGCTGGCTTAGAATTGTGATCCTCACATGTCAGCCCCATGTCAGCCTCACGAGTAGGATGATGGCTGTAAGCTACCAACACCCAGCTAAATCTGGTTCTTTTTTTTTTTTTTT